GTTTTCGGGACGATTGTAGAAGTCACAATTCCCGCCTGTGTTCCATTTTGTGCGGACGACGTAGTTGTCGAACTGTCGTCTGAAATTATGAAGATAAAATTCTTTGAACTCTGTGGAACATTATTTTTTCCCATGGAAGATAACTGATGTATCATAAAACTCTTTCGGGCAGAGACAAACGAGGAAATTCACTGTCTTTTCAGATCTAATAATGTATATGTCTTTCGAAAATATTTACTCCGAAAATACATATAATACATAAACTCCGGACAATTTCCAAGCATATTCGGTTATAATAATGCCAATAATAATCCCAAAAAAGCCCTAATAATGAAAATGCATAACTAAAAATGACGGGCAATCTGAGGATAAAAAAATTTAATTCGTAAAATAAATTTACCGTACTGTATAGTAATTACATGCATCCAGATTCGGATTTTCGAAGATTGTTTTCGATTGCGATTCCACAGCATATATGAAGAACATGCCACAATCTCACAGATGTGTCTTGTTAGAATTTCAATGCAGGTTGCACAGAAAAATTTCGCACGCAGTTTTGGAAGCGCAAACTTTAAATATAGGTGCGTTGTATGCGGTAATTGACGGCGCCTCATTTGTGAGGTATTTTAGGTTGCGATTGAGACAAAAATGTCAATATTTTCTCGACGAAACGAATGAAGTCCTTACCGTAGCACGTTTGCTTCTGACTGTCGAATTTTTGATTAGGTTTGCAATCTTCCGCTGTTGATACCAGTCTTGGCACAGATCCATTATTTTCTGCTTGAAGCGGAATAGGCAGTGCTGTGACGACGGGAATCGGAATCGGACTAGATGTGCTAGAAATCGGGTCGATGGCAATCGGAGGTGTCGGTTCCCACGTTTCAAACGTGTAGTTCTTTATAGAAAAAAGTAGAGAAATACAGTATCTTTTCGACACTTGAGCGACGTCACAGAAGAAATTGCGTACCTTTGTCGCGAACAACTCTGGGTTGTAATAATCGTAAACTCGAACAACTGCGGGAACCAAGTTTTCCATGGGTACGTTTTGAATGAGGTT